TCAAGGCTAGTGCTCTACCACTTGAGCCATAGCACCACTTCTGGCTTTTTTCTTTTTGCTTATGTGGTGCTAAGGAATCGAACCCAGGGTCTCAGGCATGCAAGGCAAGTGCTCTACCACTGAGCCACTTTCCCAGCCCCTCCTTAAGTTATTTTATTCAAGGCTAGAAGTCTGCCACTTGAGCCACAGCTCTACTTCCAGTTTTCTGGTGATTGATTAGAGATAAGAGTCTCATAGACTTCTGTCTGGGCTGGCTTTGAACCAAGATTCTCAGATCTCAGCCTCCTGAGTAGCTAGGATTACAGGTGTGAGGCACTGGCACCTAGCCATGATCTCTTAAAACTTGGGTCATCAATCTGTGATCCTTAGATGTCAACCTACTGAGTAGCTAGGGTTACAGATGTGAGCCACTAGTGCCCAGCTAAGGAAACTTTTTTTTTTCTTAATGTAATTGGCTTTCTTGATATCTGACCCTCCCTGTTTTGTGTCCATACTTTTAATGACAACTGGGCCTTGGACTTTCCTGTATTTCAGGGGCTAGACCACCTTGGGTGCCTTCTATCCTAACTCACTTGAGGTCAGCCTGGTTGGGATGAAAGCAAAGCTAGCTAAAAGCATGGAAGTGTGTATTCTTACCCTGCGTCTTTATAGTAGGATGTTGTTTTTTAGGTAGTAAACACGTAGAACATAGATGCAGAATTTCTGCACATAATATTTGCAAACCAAATTCAACAATATGTTAATTAGATAATAAATCCTGATCAAATTGTTTTCATCCTGGAATGCAAGGATAGTAAATATATACAAGTCAAGAAAGGACAGAAATCATGTGATCATCTCATTTGCTATTGAAAAGGCTTTTAACAAAATTCACAGTTCTAACCAGCACGGCACTGGTGGCTTATACCTGTAATCCTAGCTACTCAGGATTGTGGTTCAAAGCCTGCCAGGTAGGAAACTCAGAGGCTCTTATCTCCAATTAACCACCAGAAAACTGGAAATGGCTCTGTGGCTCAAAGTGCTAGAGCACTAGCTTTGAGAAGAAAAGCTCAAGGACAGCACCTAGGCCCTGAGTTCAAGCCCCATGATCAACAACAACAAAAATTCTAACCAGGCTCTGGTGGCTCTTACCTGTAACACTAAACTATTCAGGATGCTAAGATCTGAGGATCACAATTTGAAGCCAGTCTACACAGGAAAAGGCCAGGAAATGGGGGTGGTTGATACTGGGTTTTGCATTCAGGGCCTCACACTTGCTAGGCTGGTTGTACTACTTAAACCATGTCCACAGTTCAGTTTTTGCTGGTTATTCCTTATTATTATTATTAGCTGTACTGAGATTTAGAATTTAAGGCCTCACACACACTGAACTTGCTTGTTTGATGCTGTACCATTTGAGCCATGCCTTCAGCCTTTTTTTTTTGTTGGTTGTGGGGCTTGAACTCTGGGCCTGAGCTCTGTCCCTCAGCTCTTCAGCTCAAGGCGAGCACTCTACCACTTGAGCTACAGTGCTACTTCCGGTTTTCTGGTCGTTTATTGGAGATAAGATTTTCATGGACTTTCCTGCTCAGGCTGGCTTTGAACTGAGATCCTCAGATCTCAGCCTCTTGAATAGCTAGAATTATAGGCGTGAGCCACCGGTGCCCGGCTTCCAGCCTTTTCTTGTGTCTGTGAATCCTTGGACTTGAACTTAGGGCCTGAGTACTGTCCCTGAGTCTCTTTGTGCTCAAGGGTAGTACTCTACAGCACTTGAGCCACAGCTCCACTTGCAGCTTTTTGATGGTTAATTGGACATAAGAGTTTCATAGTTTTATAGTTTTCACTGTAGAGATCTTTCACCTTCTTAGTTTATACTTAGGTATTTTATTTCTTTGAGGCTACTATGAATGGAACTATTTTCTTTCTTTTTTTGTCGGTCATGGGGCCTGAACTCTAGGCCTGAGTGTTGTCCCTCAGCTCTTCAGCTCAAAGCTAGCACTGTACCACTTAAGCCACAGTGCCACTTCTGGCTTTTTCTGCTTATGTGATGCCGAGGAATGGAACCCAGGGCCTCATGCATGCAAGGCAAGCACTCTACCAGTGAGCCACCTTCCCAGCCCCAGAACTGTTTTCTTTCTTAGCCTGTTCATGGAAAAGTTACAGATTTTAGATTACTGATTTTATATCTTGCTTATGTTGTCAAAACTATCAGATATAGGAGTTCTGGGGGAAATAATTAGTCTTTTAGATATAAGATTATGTCACATCTTTGCAAGATGGGATACTTTGCCTTCTTCCTTTCTTATTTGAATCTACTTTATTTCTTTTTCTTGCCTATTGATATGACTAAGAATTTCAGTATACACTGAGAGTTAACAGTGGGAAGAATGAGACAGGAACTAGTTTTTCATGCCTGTAATTCTAGTTTTTTAGGAGGCTGAGATCAGAAGATCACAGTTAGAAGCCAGACAAGGAAGAAAAATCCATGAGACTCCAACTCCAGAATAACCAGTAAAAACTAAGGCTGGAGCCAGATGCCAGTGGCTCATGCCTGCAATTCTAGCTATTCAAGGAGGCTAAGATCTGAGGATCATGGTTCAAAGCCAGCCCGGGCAGGAAACTCCGTGAGACTCTTTTTTTTTGTCGGTTGTGGGGCCTGAATTTGGCCTGGGCACTGTCCCTGAGCTCTTCAGCTGTAGACTAGCGCTCTATCACTTGAGCCTCAGCCCTACTTCCAGCATTTTCTGCTTATGTGGTGCTGAGGAATCGAACCCAGGGCCTCATGCATGCAAGGCAAGCACTCTACACTGAACTACTTTCCCAGCCCGTCCGTGAGACTCTTATCTCCAATAAACCACCAGAAAAGTAGAAGTGGTGCCGTAGTTCAAGTGGTAGAGTGCTGACCTTGAGCTGAAGAGCTCAGGGACAACACTCAGGCCTAGAGTTCAAGCCACACAACTGACAAAAAAAAAAGAAA